ACAAAGCCGACTCTCGAACCAGGCAGGTTCTGCCTGCAGAGGACGCTGGGCTCTGAGACCACGGGGACCGGGGCCTGTGCTGGCGGCCTGTCATTCCAACCAGGGCCTCGAGCTCCTCACCCATGAGGCACACACTGCCTCCAACGGCACTGAGCTCTCTGGCCCCCAAGCCCAGGCCCTGGTGCTCACCCCTGACAGCCCTGCAGGGCTCTGGGCTCAGGTGGGAGCAGGGCACCCATCACAGCGACCTGTGCCACAGACAGCCATAGTCACTGTGGACAGTGACGCCAGGAGAAAATCGGTCATTTCCCTGCAGCATGAGGACCCTCTGTGCACGACCACACCCCATGTCATCACTTCAACCTACAAGCAGCCTGTGCACCAGAGAAAGGGCTGGACTGTCCCCTCAAAAGGCCTACTGAGCCACCATCAGATAAAGATGCACAGCCGCCAAACCTCCACCAACATCAAGCACGTGGGAAACACTGTGCACAATTCCCTGCTTCTCTACTCCGTGTGTGGTTCTGAGTTCCAAAGGAGAAACCGCTCCTCACACCCCGGGCTGGCGGGGTCCAGAGACTCCCTGATACCCGGGTCCTCGCAGTGCTGGGCCAAACACATCCTGGCATGTAGGGCTCGGTGCATGCACCCTCTCTGGGCTTTGTCCTCGTGCAAAAATGCACCTGCCCTGCAGCCCGCCTCTCAGGAAGCATGGGCCATCCGTATCAGAAGGCAGATCTGATGCAAGTTGCTTCCTTTATTGAAAACCAGCCTAATCCTGCGAGTCAAACCCCAGCTCCCAGAAGACCGTTCCAGACAATTTATAAAAAAGCAAACCCCATCATGATTTGTAAACACACTCGGTGCAAGAGCCCAAGCAACATGAGCAAGTAAGTGCCACTGCTTTGCAGGGAAGGTCTAGTCTGGAACGAGGACAGCCAGTCTCTGGACTCGGTGTTAATCTCTGGGGCAGACACTTGGCTATGCACACTCGGCACTGGGGGCGGTGCACGACCCTCTAACACACACTTTCCTCAGAGGAAAATGTCTGAGCAGAAATCATTTCTGATTTGTCTGTGGTCACGGACACCTGGTGTCACCAGATGCTTCCTCCCCGCCAGGGCTCCTCACAGTTTGGGAAATCTCAGTACTAGGGACACAAAAAGGCCCCTGGGGACGTGACGCCCGAGCGCAGCCCAGCCCCTGGCACATGGGATGGACGCAAGCGGGATGAGGCCAGGCACGGGTCAGACTTGGAGCAGTAACTCCTGCACTCAGATTAGTCTATGAAATGAGCCACGTTTCAGATCTCAGTGGTTTGACTTTAAAATCTGAGCGTAGAGCCATAAAGACTCAGATTATTTATCTTCTCCAGGAACACACGAGTACTTGAGTTCCTTTCTCCTTTTCATGGCTAATAATAGACACTCACAACATCACATCAAAAGGAGAAATGAGGGCCACATCCTGCACACACATCCTGGGAAAAGCACCGGAGAGGTCGATCAGAAACCTCCCCAGCATCCACCCACCCGCCGGCTGGCATTGACTGACGGAGCTGCAATAGTCAGGCTCACCTTTCAAGCGACAAGTCAGGACTTACTGCAAAGCACCTTCTCTAAGTGTCAGCTGTGAACTCCGTGAAACCAGAAAGAAACTGCACAAGAGGTAAAGATGTCTAAGTCTCTGAAAAGCTGCTCAAAGCTCAGACCTCTCATACCACGTCCTTGTGTGGCAAAGCAGTACACAGACGGCCCTCCCCAGCCCCCCCCCCGCCTCTGCACACGTGGCCCTCCCCAGCCCCCACCCCGCCTCTGCACACGCGCCCCCCCGCCGCCGCCACCAGCTGCCTCAGCAGTGGGGTCAAGCCTGACCTGGAAGCTGGCTGTTACCACGGGCATCAACAGCACAGAAACTCTCTCCTTTCTGAAGGGACTTAAAATAGAGAGCTTACAATTCTGGGTTTTGGGGGTGCTCTACCATGTCACTGTGATTTCTGGGCATTTCCCAAGCTTTAAGAAGTATCATTCTATTAAACTCTAAAAGAAATTTAAACTATAAAACTATGAAGTTTTATCAAATACTATGGTTAGTTTCAGAAACAACATAATTTTTTCATCTGCAGTAAGAATTAGGTATCATTTTTGACTGCTGTGGGCCTATCAGAACGCTCTGCACAGAGGGGCCACCATAAATGCTGTATGGACAAAAAAGACCCCACAGGGAAAAGATCCCAGGGCATCCAAAGTCCCTGGGAAAGGCTACTGCTGCATGCTTTTCATTAAAAAGCTCCTTTTCCTGGCAGGATGGAATTAAAAGCTCACGCAGTGACAGGAAAGGCAGATGGGTGACAAACCCTCCATCCAGATTCTGGAGATTGTTCAACACGTGGCCCTGGGGTTACACAGCGGAGACCCTGCTGACGTCCTCGGCGCGGGCAGGAGTGGGGCAGGAAGTCTGGTGGGGCCACCCCCGCCTGCCGGTACAACGCCCTGACCTCTCATTTGACCCTGGCCCCAGCTGACCTGGGGCACCAGCTGACAGGACCTTGCGGAACAGAACAAGGGACCAGGAAACACATTTCAGTGTGGAACCAAAACAGGGGGAAAGGTTAGCTTCCAACCTCCTGAGGGAAGCTGGGAGCCTCTGCAGGTTGTGTTTGCTCGCCGAGCTCACAGGAATGTTAGGCGCCCACTGCCCCCACCCCGCCCCCATCGGGGAGCTCTGTGATGGGGACGGGTCCCCAGGACCACATGATGACCGCTAAGACTCTGAACACAGACAAAGACAGAGGTGTGTGTCCCGATTACACAGTCAGACTCATCTGGTCTGCACCCACGGCGACCGCCAGGAACACCCGAATCCCCGCAGATGCCCCGCGGCCGAGTGAGCCTCCAAAGAGGAGGCAATGGGCCCTTGTTAAAGGCAGCCTGCCGTCCTCATGCGGAAGTGAAGCTGGGTGTTCTGGGCTGAACTGCGGGTCCCGCAAAATTCAGGGGTTAGAGTCCTCACCCCAGAACCTCAGAATGTGACCGAGTTTGGACACAGGGTCACATTACAGCAAGGTCACCGGGTGGGCCCTGGTCCAGTAGCTGGCACCCTTGTAAACAGGGGACATCTGGACACAGACAGAAGCACAGAAGAAATGCAGCCGTCTGGGCCTCAGAAGGAGCCAACCCCCTGGCGCCCAAAGCTCGGACCATGGGAAACAAGTATCTGCTGTGTGAGCTGCCGGCCTGTGGCACTATGACCGCGGCCCGAGCACAGACCGACACACAGGGCTGACCAACGAAGCCACGTAGCCCTATGCCACCTTTCCACATGTGGTCTGACCTCAAGGGTCCAGTGAGGGCCCGTTCTGAGTGACTGTGGCCTTCACGGTCCCTGAAAACGCAGGTGGTCGTAACCTGTACCGTGGGAACCCGTGGGAACCCGTATGTCGAGATAATTAGCTTCAAAATAGTCTTCTTTTTACTTAAAAATTATAAGGAGAGTACAGTGGGCATAAACTGTTCTTTTAAAAATTTTTTAAATGCCTCCAAACAGGTTTAAATTCCCATGTTCATGAATTTAAGCCAAGTGCTGAGATATGTTTTTTTTTTTATGAGACCTACGAATATACTAGGCTCTTGAGCTTTAGAGAATGAAAGCATAAGTTGGGATAGAAATGTGGACCCATCCTAACACAAGTCAAGAGAAATCAGGGGTAATCCTTGCTTTCATGTTTTCTCTTCACTGACTCCTAGTCTATACCTCAGGCAAAGGAGGCCTTGACCGTGGTCTGATTGCTTTAGAAACTGTCAGTCTCACATTGGGTTTCTGCCACAGACTTTCAGAAGGTTTAGCTGCATTTGCCCGGAACCTACAACTGAATGACCCCCCTTGCAGCTGCGCCTGCCTCACAGGCCCTCGCTGCGGAAGGAGGCTCTGAGCAGAGCCGAGCAAATTCTGTATCGAGTCACCCTGTTGACTGGCTTCCCTCACCACAGGGCGCACACTGCTGGAACCCGTGGGTCCCTCTCCCCAGGGCTGCTTCCAGAAGGCCCTTCAACGACAAAGGCACAGGAAAAACAAATGGCTGAGCCCAGGGTACCCGGCACCGCCCGCAGAAGCATGCGTGCTTCCCGGGCGGGGGGCGGGGTGCGCCCTGTGAGGGGAGGCACGTTTTCATGCCTGATAAAAATCCTGGAGCAGAAAGCATTCTGCCAGGGGTCATTAGTGGCCCACCTGTTGGGAAAGCTGTTTAGTTAAAAATAAAAACAGAGGGCTGAGTAAGTGGACCCAGTGGAGTGGCCCCAGCCTGCACACTGCTAGAAAGAAAAATCAACAACCCGAGCCGCGGCACTGGGAGCACGCTTGAGCTCTCCGTCGCCAGACTGCCGGGGGGTGGGCGCCCATCTCCTGGGACCAGGCCGCCATGTTGTTCTCCAAAGGCGGGCAGGGCGGATTGCGGGGAGCGGGGTTTGTCGCTCTGGGGAATCGCTGAGCCAAGGCCCCATCTGCACCCGCGCAATGGCAGCAATTAGGTGGGGGAAAGGAAATGGGGGAGCAGCAGAGGCAAACACACAAACAGGAGAGGGGCCGTTTGGTTTTACTAAAAAAAAAAAACAACCCCAAAAACTGCGTGCACGTGTGTGCAAGCCCTTGTAAGGGGCTGACCTGTCCCCACCAGAATTCACGTGCTGGAGTCCTACCCCTCGCACCTCAGAATACGGCCAGGTTAGGGCACGGGACCTTGAAGGAGGTCATTCGATGAGGGCGAGGTCTTCAGAGTGTCCTCGTAGAAAGGGGGTCTGAATAGAGACACACGCGAGGAGAGTGCCACACAGCGTTTAGGCAGAGACGGAAGGTGCTTCTCAAGCCAGAGGAGGCCAGCGCCCTGCGGCACGCCCGACGCCAGAGAGGCCTCAGGAGGAAGGGGCCCCGCGGGCACCTGCATCCGGACCGCCGCCCCCAGGCCATGAGAACCCGGCTCTGCGGCTGGCCACGCGCCCGCTCACCTGGTGTAGGATGCCGGGGACCGGGGCCGGGCCCACTGGTATGGATGCTGCGGCACCGACAGGTACTGGTCACAGAACGCACCCTTCCGGATGTGCTGGAAGGACAGGAACTCTTCGGGCAGGAACTCGGACGTGGGTGGCGTGGTCCCCAGGTCCTCACCCACTGGCTCCACCTTGAGCGCCACAGAGGGACAGTGGTCCAGGGCAGTCTTGCGCGCTTTCACCGGGACGCCGTCCAGCTCCAGGCTGCTGTCGGTGCTGAGGGCGTTGATGGCGGCCACGATAGCAGAGCTCGTGTACTGCGTGCTGTTGCCCAGCCAGGTGTCGTCGGTGACGCTGACCCGCGGCGAGCTGCGTGGGGACGGTGTGGGTGAGTGGTGTGGGGAGCCAGACAGCTGCCGGCCATTGAGGCCATATTTCCTCTTGTTGCAGGGGGACGGGGGCCGGGACGTGCGGGCCCCCAACCAGCTCTCCTCCGTGACGCTTGCGCGAGGCGAGGTGCAGGGTGAGTGTCTGGGGGAGCTGAGCAGGCCGCAGGCCCCCAGGCCACGGGGGAAACCGTCCTCAGGGTCCGTGGTCTTGGGGGACACACAGGGTGACTGCCATGGGGACGTCTGTGGGGATGCATAGGGGTACGAGAAGCCAGACTCGAAGGACGAGGCCTCAGAGTTGCAGCTACGGGATGACAGGCTGCTGGCCGGGCTCAGGCAGGAGGGGTCACGGTAGGCCTCCAGGCTGGGCAGACCCAGAGTGGCCGTGCACGGGGGCCGCTGGGAGCCGGGAGGGACGTCTTCTACCTCTGCATCATGGAAAAACTGGTTGCTGCCGTGGTGCAGTCCCAGGTACGAGGTGATCTCGATGCGAGGACTCTCCAGGGCCGGGGCCCCGTTGGGCCTGACGTGGCCAGAGGAGAGGAAGCAGCTCGAGGGCCTGCTGTCCACCGCCCCACCATAGCCTGGGGGCTGACTTGCCGCAGCGGCCGGCATGCCTGGGGCCGAGGTCTGCAGGTCATGGCATGGAGCTGGCAGCGAGGGGCGAGCCGAGCCAGGAGGCAGAGCAGAGCTGATGCTCGAGGACGCATAACTATAGTGCTCTAGAAAGGGGACAGAGAAGATGGCGTGAGGGGCCAGTCAGCAGAAAATACACCCACAGCTTAGTGAGCCCGTCAGCGCCGCACACGCCCAGGCCTGGACCCCAGGGCACAGCCGCTGAAACGCCACTCAGCTCGTACTGCTCCCAAGGGCCCCCCTGGCCCACAAGGCCCGTACCCATCCTCCCTTCCCTGCTCTCCAGCACAAGGGCACCCACTGCCCCTCCCACCACCCTCAGGCTTCCACTGGCTTCCCTCTGCCCCAAGTGTACAGCCATTAGAGAGCCACCCCCCTCCTTCCTTCCCTCTTCTCTTCATGCAAAGACTGCCTTCCCCAGCCACCTTCCCAGATTTCAGTCCCCAACCCAACACCGTGTCATCCTCCCCAGCTGATCTCTTCCTCAACACTTAGCATCATCTTGTCCATCTTCTCTTTCACCAGGAGAAAGTAAGTTCTGTGAGGGCAGGAACCTTTGCCTGCCTTAGTTGACTTTGCTTCATGGCTGTCTTCAGAGCCTAAGACTGTGCCTGGCACATAAAAGGTCCCCAATTTGTTAAACAGATGGATGGATGGGTGGGTGGGTGGGTGGATGGATGGAGGATGGATGGTGGGTGGATGGGTGGATGGATGGATGGATGGGGGGATGGGTAGGTGGATGGAGGGATGGGTGGATGGATGGTGGATGGGTGGGTGACTGGGTGGGTGAATGGTTGGGTGGGTGGTGGATAGGGGGGTGGGTGGAGGGATGGGTGGGTTTTACCTATAGGAACCTGGACATTTAAAGAGATTTAATAAGCTAATCACTGTCAAGGTGCCCTAACCAGTAGCTACAAAGAAAACACCTCAAGGATCAGATAGAAACATAGATTCTGGGGTCTCTCTCATGTAAATTCTGATGGTAGTTCATGGCCTAGGAATCCGTTTCAAAAAAAAAAAAAAGCAGAGGACATTGATGCACAGCTAGATTTACGAATCATTATGTTAATTATAACCTCAATAAGCTATATTTTAAAAATCATTACTGGCATAATTAGTAATTTTTAACAAAAAACCACATTTCTGGATTTCCTATTTGAAAAGACATTTTACAACATCTTGGTACCTCATTACCGTGCACCTAGGGAAGAGTGTTCCAAGTCTCTAAATAATGGAAGCGCACATGGAAACCGGACACCGGCCCTGGGTCAGCTCACTGCCCTGAAGGTACGTGGTTCCGTGACAGGGCTTCCTTCCGCGGTGCTGTGACCAGAAACCCACACAGACCAACCGCGGGAAATCAAGGGTCTTGGAGTACTGGCTGAAACCCCACCGTGTTTACGGACAGAAACGGGTCTCGCACCCCAAACAGACGGGCGTCTACGTCTGCTATTGCTTATTTCCAGAAGGAGCCATTCGGCCGCTCCTTCTGGCAATCAGGTTCTCACAGTCTCCGCTATTAAGAAGCTCTTGCTTCTACTGCTCGGAAAGCCCCCAGGAAAACCTGTTTGCCTGTGTTCCTCCAGACCCCTCACAGGTGGCCTGGAGAGAGCACACAGGCCCGCCCCCTTTCCAAGAGAGCATCAGCGTCTGTGCCAAAATGCCCTGGGGGAGAGAGCCCTGCCAAAGAGGGAGCAGACCAGAAGCTTCGAGGGACAGGAAGTGGTCCCCTCAGGACGGATGGGCCTGGATAAGCCCTCGAGCTCATGCACCCAGCGACCCAGCCGCCTATCTCCAGTGGCGGTCCCCAATCTGCTCCCACGGACCGCGGGGCAAGCAGGAACCCCGACACGGGGCGCAAGAAAAGCAGCAGGCCCTCATTTCCCCAGGGCAGGAGGCGGGGCGCTGGGCTTCCCACCACCTGCCCCCGTGCCGCCAGCCCTGGGACCGTGTCCCATGCTCACCAGCGCTTGCGGCATCCCAGTCACACCCTCACATGCTTACGGACAGCCTGAACACACACACCGCCATCAAAAGTTTAAAATTACAGTCTTTGTAAAAATCAAACAAGGAGTTAAAAACCCAGGCACTTCACAGAGGTCAAGGTTCCTCAGGAAGAGGTGGCCTAGGGGCCACAGGGGCCACCCGTGCACATCTGCCTTCAACACTTCCCCACCCGCACACCTGACAGACTGCCGCACAGGTGCCTGATGGGGCGTCGTCCAGAGGGATCTGGGCAGCAGGGGCATGGGGCGGCAGGCCCCGCAGAAGGCGGGTTGATCCTCGGGAGGGTCTGCCCCACACACAGGACCTGTCAGGAGCTCCAGGGGCATGAACACTAATCACCATTCCCTCACTGAAAGGCATCTGAGAGATTCACCTCCACCCAAAATTACTCATTTCCAGCCTTCAGCACGTTAGCGCACGACTGTCATGCACTGTACGTACGTGTATTTCCACTCATACACACATCTCCACGCGTGTGCTCCACACGTGCATACAGGTATGGCTCACGCACACCTACAGACGCCGACCAATCTGACCAGCACAGGGAGTGACAAGCTGAGTGTGCGCGGCACATCCTGTCATCACGGGACCAATACCGAGGACATTAACGAAGTGAGTGTGAGTTTGCTTTACACACTCAGAAGCCAGGAATTTTAGGACGTAGACTTCCACAGGTAACTTTATCATATCTGACATATAATCAGAGCTGAGTTAAAGAGAGGTTCGCTTCCCTCCATCCCTGGCATCTGGTTCACGATTGGCCACCGACTCCCGCCTTCTGGGCCACCATGTGTGCTAAGGCATCCTGAACCCATGTTTTCCCAACAGCGGCTGGTCCAGGCTGCACACCCCTTTCTGGCCGATGTCCCAGCCCAGCCCCTCCTGCTCCGTGTCTGCCCCCAACACCCCCGGGGGGCCACCTCCGCCAGGGTGGCCGTCACCCTGTGCTGGCCGCACACAGCTTCCTGGGCCCACAGAGAGAGAACCACGGTGCCACTCTGCTGTGGTCTCAGCTCCCCTTTGGCGTCTGGGGTGGATGACACACCCCGGGGGCCCCCAAAGAGCCCACAGGCACGAGGGGCTATGCCTTGTCTGCGGGGGTGTCCAAACAGCAGCTGTGAGGTGTGTGGCCTGCCTGCTCCCAGAGCACCTCTGACCTTGAGGCGCCAACGTCCTAACAACAGGGACAACCTCGCCAGACCTTCCCAGACAGACGAGGCGCCCCAGGCCCTGGCCCACCCCCGCTGGTGTGGACACCCGTACTGTGGGCCCTGCATTGGAGCCCCTGTACCTGTGGGAGGCACGAGGACCTAGCATCCGGGGAAGAATGTGTTTCCATGTTAAAGAGAAACCACCAAGTATGGCGGACAAAGCAGGAGGCGTGAGGCTGGTGGGAACTATTAGATGCCGTGTGGAGTACAGACGTGTGTCATGAAGCCACGCCCGCAAGGAGTCCGTGATGCCCCTGCGAAGGGCCCCCAGGCCTCCCCAGCTCCCAGGACTCTCCCAGGTTGTCCGACATCCAGGGAGGTTTCATGGACCGTTCCCTGAGTTTCCTGCCCCAGTTAAAAGAGTGTTATGTGTGTCTACAATATATGTTAAGAGATGGGGCGCCTGGCTGGCTCAGTTGGAAGAGCGTGCAACTCTTGATCTCGGGGTTGTGAGTTTGAGCCTACATTGGGAGTAGACTAGTTAAAAAATTAAAAATCAACTTAGAAGAGAGAGCTGAGCCCACGGTTGCACTAACATTTGTTGGCAGGAAGGTAATCCCAAGATTTAAAAAACAAATCCTAGCAATCAGTGGAGCAGGTCTGGGGGCCTCCCCACCAGCTGCCCCCGGGACTCAGCCCCTGTCCCTGGGTGGCTGGAGTCCGAGGCTCCAACTGCACAGGGCAGTACAGGCACTGGGGGTTCTGGGTGAAATGGCAGAGTGAGGCGGGTCTGACCAGTGTGCGCATGAGCACAATCTTCTCAAGGGCCTGGACGACACAGGGTGTAGGACAGAAAGCACCCCCCGACTCCCAGAACTTCCTAAGAGGGGCCTTTATGTAAACCAGTCTGTCAATAATCATAATTCGATGAGAAAAGAAAAAAACATAAAGTTTTATTTAAAAAAAAAAGACTCACTTAAAGTGTGACTTTTCCTTAATTAAACAAATTACAAAATGAAAGCCTTAAATGCCTGAACTTCATTACGAACACTCAACCAAAGAGTTGGGGGCTGCTGGATAATAAAGGTCTCTCTTCTAGAACAAACACACATGCAAGGGGGAGGTCCCAGCTCGCCCCCTGGGCCCTGGGTGCTGTCTCCCGCCGCGGGAGGCACCGCGCCCTGCCCTCCCTCCTCCCTCCCACCCGGTTTGCTTTCATTACCCACCTAAAACGTATTCAAATCTGAATTATTTCACTATTCAAAGGATTACATTTACATGGAATGAAGATATTTCCAGTAACCTTCTTAACAATCCCGAGATGTTCAGGCTGATTCCCGTCACATCAGGAGCCACTTAAAGTGCTCAGCACCCGTTAGGGTCACTTTCTGCCGCCTGGCTGTTTGCCAAGGATCGTTCATTAAATTACAGCGCAGGTGAATACAAAAGGAACTGCCCCAGTTAAAGCAAGTATCATGGAGAGCGTATTCAAAACGGTTCACTGCACTAACCAGGAATAAAAGCGTGGCTCATCCTCTGAAGACATGACCTGCCCCCTGCCTCCTGGTTCTCACATGTCCACCCTGGAGTCACAAAGCCCCGGGCAAGGTGCTCTGGGGACCCGAGGATGGACACCAGGGTGGGCGGAGGATGCGTGCGGCACCCAGGCTGGTCCAGCACTCGGCAAATTCACGCTGGAGTTGTCAGAAGGATTTCCTCTCATTCTGAGAAAGAATTTATTTCAGAACCAGACAATTTTGTCATTTCTGATCAACCACCAAAAAGGTATATCCATGTCCTTTCTACCGAAGCCAACAGCATCTGCGCCCAGCACCTGCCCTCCGTGGGCCCAGCACGCTGGGCAGATGCAGCGGCCCAGGCTCCCCCGGTCTCCCACAAACTGAGACGCCCAGCCTGGCTTCTCCCCTCTGGCATCTGCTGGCGTCGAACCCCAGGACACGAAGCTGGATGGAGAAGCCGAGCAGCTGGGACGCAGGGTCCTGCCCTCCAAGAGGCCTGAGCAGACATCCCCACCGGGGGCACTGCGAAGCTACCAGGCAGCGGGATGAGAATTTCCCAGGTAGTGGAAACAAAACAACACAACACAAAACCAAAACACACTCCTGCCCAGAGCTTGCTGCAGGGCGCTGTTTACACTGAGCACCTGGGAGGCACTGCGTCAGCGGCCAGGGCCAGGGCGGCCGTGGGGGACACACAGAAATGCATGGAGCCATCGGGGGCTCAACAACCTGCCAGAAGAAAGATCACTCAGGCCAGGAGAACGGCCTTGTCACACCAGCACACACTGCTGTGAGTTCCAGAAACAAGCACACCTCGCCTTTCATCGGGTCCTCGGTCCAGCCCGGTGCCCCTGCGCACCACACCTTGCGGGGGTGCCCTGACAATGCCCCCCTGCACAGCACAGCTCATGGGGTGCCCTGACGGTGCCCCCCTGCACCCCCCTGCACAGCACAGCTCACGGGGGGGCCCTGATGGCATCCCCTACACACATCTTGTCACCTCAGGCTTCCACCTTCTCATTCCCTGTTTTTGAAGAACTAAGAAACATCCAAGTTGTTATCAGCTTCAGTGCTCCTTGATAAAGATACAAAATTAAAAAGTCCTACAAAGAACCATCCTGGAGAGAACATCTCTGGAACTCTGGAACAAACTGTAGAGGGTGCGCTGCCCAGAGGACGCGTGTGGATGCCTGTCCCACAAGTGGAGGGTGCCCCCTGAGATCCCCGCTTGGGTGCAGGGCCCACCCGCCCCGAGTCCCCGGCACCAGAGACCCCGGTCTCCTCCCATCACCGACACACTGCGGGGCACGGAGTCAGGAATAAAGGTCCCTCCAAAGACTCCCCTCTCTGCGTGAACTGGACGGGCCGCCCGCGGCGCCCAGCTGCAGACCTGCCTTCTTGGGGCGTGAGGCGGCCTGTCTGCTGGGGACAGTCCAGCTCCGACCCAGAGGCCTGGCCAACTTCCTCCAGAGTTGCCAGGGCAACAGCCCTGGCAGCTTTGGGGCCAAAATCGCTTAGAACACAGGAGCGCGGTGGGAAGCAGGACCACGCCCGCCTCCCAGCCCACAGTGAGCAGCTATTTCCTGAGACCGAAGGGACGGGCCTCCTTGCTCCCTCCTCTCCGGAGAGGGACAGCCTCCGCCCAGCCAGCCTTCTGCCCACGGGGTTCAGGGCCCGTGGCCTCAGGGACACACGGAGGCCCTGGGAGAGCAAACAACACTCTTGCCCAGCCCTGGGGCAAATTATTAAAAATTCACTTTTCTTTCTCTCAACTAACGGTTTCTATTTGCTCCTGCCGAGCACTGTGGGAAAGGACTCCGGCCCTGAAGCCCTGGGGAAGACACGACCCCTGGGGCTGCCACAGGCCTGAGGGGGGCACGCAGTGACGGGAGTGACCATGCGCGCAGAGGCTCCCCCCCCCCCCCGGCCCCGCACTGACTCCTCGAAGCGGAGGACGCTGCTCCCAGCGCGGGGGACCGTGACAGACGCCGGGAAGCACAGCCACCATGGCCAGGGCTCCCGTGCCCTTGGACAGAGGGCCCAGCCCTGTGTGCGGTATGATCTGTAAGGGCTGTGTTACCTCGCCTCGCGGCCCAACTCAGTGTGAGTCACCCGTTCACGTATTTATATCCAGGCTCATTCCAGAAATAATGTGAAGCCGTTTCTATCATCCATTAAGGGCTGGAGAATTCAACGTCACAATTTAACACAACAATGTGATAATTAACTTAATATTTAATAATTACAATATAATTAATAAAAACAAAAACAAAAGACTTCACTAATAATCGCCAAAACCCGGAAGCAACCACAGACGTCCTTCGGAAGGTGATGGATTCATACACCGTGCTGCATCCAGACAATGGGATATTGCTCAGCCCTAAACAGAAATGAGCTACAAGCCACGGAAAAGACACAGAGAAAACTTGAGTGCGATTCACTAAGTGCAAGAAGCCAGTCTGAAAAGGCTACGTCCTGTAGGACTCCAACTTAAGACGTTCTGGAAAAGGCAGAACCATGGAGACAGTACAGACCCGTGGTGGCCAGTAGCTGGGGGATGGATGGAGGGATGTGCAGGCCGAGCACGGGGGATTTCCAGGGCGGCGAGTCTCCTCCGTAGGTAGTGTTATGCCGGATAGGTGACATCGTGCGTTTGGGAAAGCCCGAACACACTCGCACCGCCGAGAGTGAGCCCTAATGTCCACTGTGGACTGTGGGCAAGAATGGCGCGTCCACGGACGTCCCATGCAGTTAACAGGTGCTGCACTCTGGGCAGGTGTTAAATGATGGGGCAGCTGAGGTATGTCAGGGCAGGGGGTCTAGGGGAGAGCTCTCTACCTTCCTCTCGATTCTGCTGTGAACCTACAACTGCTCTTAAAAAATAATCTTAACAAAATGAAGGAAGAAAACATGAATATCTGTCAGAAAAATATGTTAAAAAAATGAATGTTTTCTAGCAATTTCTAACACATGACGAGGGGAAGAAGCCTTTCTTTTTTCCGCCTGGCCTCCTCTGCCCAGAGCTGTCTCCAAGCTGCCTGAGGCCTCCCTTCTCCCAGAGCCTGGTGAATGCTGGGCCCCAGGCACCCGGATCCTGGAGGCCTTCCTGAAGGAGGCTTTCACTGGACTGTGCCCCCCTGGGAGCCTGGGGCTAGGGCATTGACTTAGCCAAGATGATTAAAGGCAGCCTTAAGAACGTTACTGGCTCACGGATCAGTTAGGAGTTTGGAGCAGACATTCTGGGAGGCACAAGGAGGCGGTGAGGCCCTCCCTGGCTCTCGGAGCCCCCGGTCACGGAAGGCACAGAGCCTGTGCCCTGTGCACACCAGCCTTCCAGCACGGCAGCAGCCCTGAGGGCACAGGGACGGTCCCTGAGAGCCACAGGGCCCAGGACCGCAGAGGGAGGCCTGTCCAGACAGGCTATCGCACCATACAGTGGTCTTCACCTCGCGCCTCTCACCAGACACCTGCTAAGAGGACTGAGCCTGGGGGGTGAAAATCCTGGGATGGGACGCTCCGAGAGCGCAGCACGGCCTGCCAGACCCGGGCAGGAAAGCAAGGAGGCCTCAGAGACCATTTCTCCACTTCCATCCCGGTCCAGACAACTGCCTTGGCTCCCGCCGAGCCCGGAGGCCTGGAGACCCACAGCCGCCGAAGATGAAGCCGGGGTGCGGATAACAAAGTTCAGGCAGCCTCTGCCTGGTTGGAACGTTTATTTTTTAAAAATGAACAGGACGTTACAGTTTTTTAAAAGAGGGGTGGTGAACGACATGGAAAATATTATACAATCACCACAGAGACGCCGTCGTGTGCGAGCCAAGTGTGCGGCGGGCAGCTTCCTCACTCTCCGCCACGCGGGCAGGACAGAAAGGAGAGGTGGGGGCCAGTGCCGGGGTCTCCCCCACCCGGGCCCAACCCCCCGGACACTGCCGGCAGCCTGAGCTGCCTGGGATTATTCGGTAGCTCACACCCTTACTCAAGAGCATCCACTCCAGAAACCTGGAGGCTTCCTTTATTTGTTGTTTAACTGAAACCTTTACTTTTGCAGAGAAGAGAAAATGAAAGAGAAAAGGGCTCCGAGCCCCTGAGGGCTGGTTCCACTTAACGCTGCTTCTGGGAGGGGCCAGGGGCCCGAGGGTGCTCAGGGACAGGTCTGGAGGGGCTCCATGGCCTCCTGCCCTCTGGCAATGGCCGCTCACCACCTGTCCCTCGACAGTGTCCAAGTCCAGGGCCTTGGACACTTGTGTCCCCTGGTGTCAGCAGCCTGGAGGAGACACTCCTCCAGCAGGACTGCTCGGCAGACCCCACACACGTGTGACCACAGGCAGGAGACCTCACCTCCCGACCCCGAAGTCCACACTGAGCAACACACGAGAGTGCTGGCCTCTCCCAGCCACCCACAACTCCCCATTACACTGGATCCCTTTTAGTAGGTTCCCCAGCGTCGTGGGGGCAGGGCACCCCCCAGGCCAGCCCATCCCGACTTCGTCTGGTTCCTGCACCCCCGGCCCAGATACCACCCCAGGTGCCTGCACCCCCTGATCCTGCACGTCAGAACCGCACCCCGCCCCTGCATCCCCCAGGCCCTGCACCCCCGGGGTCCTGCACCTCCGGCCCTGCAGGCTCGAGCCCAGCACTCCAACGGCCCTGCACCCCTCGCCCGCGGCCCCCCCTTTTCCCAGGCCCCGCGCGGACCCACCTGGGGCAGCGGCGGTGCCCTCGTCGCTCTGGTTAAACTCGAAAAGGAAATCGAAGTCGAACTCCTGGTTCTCCTCCAGCCCTGTCATGTTGGTACGGGGCAGGTCGGGGTTGGGGTCCGCGGAGGGGCTCGGGGTCCAGGGTCTGGGGTCAGGGTCCGGGCCGGGTCAGGTCGGGGCCTGGGGTTTCGGGGGCCGGGACCCCGGGTCAGGGTCGGTCGGGGTCGGGGCCCGGGTCGCGGCCCCGGCCGCCGGCACCTGTGGTCGCGCCGCCCCGGGCTCGGCTACGCCGGGCGCCGGGCCGCGCGTCCCCGGGTAACGTGACTCCCGCCCGCGCCCCTCCCCCGCCCCCGCGCCCCTCCCCCGCCCCCCTGCTGTTTCCGGGTTGACATAAACAAGCCGCTCGCCGGCCGCCGGCTTCCGAGTTTTAAATAAACTCTCCGGGCAGCCGGGGCGCACGCGGCTCGCTCGTGTCCCCCGCCCCCCGCGCCCGCGCCCGGGGGTCCATGTGCACCCCGGCCCGCGCCCAGGCGGCCCGGGGGCGGGGGGCGGGCCGAGAGCCTGTGGGTGGGACCCCCGCTCGCGCCCCGCACGCCCGCGCGGCCCCAAGTGGCGCAAAGATCAAGACTGATTCCCAAAGAGAGGGCCGACTGCACCCGAGCCTACTGAATTTGTGTAAAAGTTAAAAAACAAAACAGAACAAAACAAAAAAACGGCTTTCAAACTGCTGGGCCTCTTGGGGAGTGAGGAGTTAGCGCGTCTTGGTTGGTGCCTGAGTCTACAACATGCACGTCCGCCCGGGCGCGGACACGCAGTCCAGTGGCAGCCCGGCTGGCTTTATAAGCTGCTCTCCCTCCCACTTGGAACAAGCTAAACATATCACCCGAAAGTGCCAAGAAAATGGGAGTCCCCCATACGGATGGGAAAGGAGACTTTGCACCGTGGAGCTGTGCGCTTTGAGTTCTGGCGTCTTCCTTCCAGGCCAGCGCCCACTGCCACCGGGGCTTCCTTGTAACACCGTTCACTTTGGCCCCGCAACTTCTTAAAATACATGTTCACTCTCCTACATGTCCACAGGTAACTGCAGAGCTTTCAGAGTGCGCGGGCATCCAAACCCAAGGCTAGAACACAGAGCAGCCTGGCCACAGCAAACGGAGGGCAAAGGCCCATCCCCGCACAATTCTTGCCTTATGTTCTTTCTCCCAGCTGTTTGTTCTGACTGTCCCCAGTGCCTTGGCACCACGTGCAACCAACATCTGGAATAGCAGGGGGGACTTCACAGGACTCGAGAAAAAGCAGGGTAGGGTGGTACAGACGTCCATTTCTACAACTCTGCTGCCAATGAGCACGTGCCCTCCCTTCTGCCCTTTGGCCCTTTGGCCCTGCGGGTATTGCTCCTTCCGGGGAAGTAAATAACCGGCAAATCACTTGCGGCACCCCGCCCCACGCCATGCTTCTCTCCCAGGACCCTTTTCAAATGGCTGGTTTTCTCCAGTGATAAACTATGGTTCACTTTGGCCTGATTTAGTTTCTAATAATAGTCCTCACTTTGAGATGTATGTTGGAGAGTTGTGTTTTAGTTAGCTTTTTTGCTGACCTTCGGGCAAATAGAGTGTTTCTGTTGAAAAGCAGCACTTCATTTTCTCTTTCCAGTTATTTTCCCCGAAGCCGCCTCTAATCCCCACCAAAAATTTACATGGAAGTAACAGCCCTTACCGTCTGTGTAGACTACAGCTTTTTGTTCAAGGTTCGAGAGAAAGTGGGTTCACACTTCCGCATGCACAGGTGCCCACCCAGTTCCCACCTGGCCACGGGGATGGAGGCTCAGCCCCCGCTCTGCCTGAGGCTGAGCTGCCCCCCACCTGGTTTCGGATCCCCAACCAAAGTGGCCAGATGCACAGGCCAGTTTTCTAAATGCTCCTCTTCCCAGCAAACCATGCGCCCCACCCCACCGCCAGCACTGCTGAGCCTTTCAACTGGTACAAGGTTTGGAGCTACTGCCAATTCAGCAGACACTCCTGTCCCGATGAAAATGTTTAGCTTGGCGCTTCCTCTCGGCGGCTGCGGGTGTTCACGGCGCTCAGAGCTCCAGCACTGGGTGTGATAGAGCAAGGCGCTAGCACCACGGCCTTTTCTAATCTGGATTAGGAAACAAGGCCACGGAGTTAAGTGTCCGGAGAACAGAGCGCGCTTTGTTCTGCTCCGGAGAGCCCCAGGGCATTCTGTGTGGAGCAACCTCGGAATGGGTGGGTGGGTGGCTACCTACAAGGCCTTGCATTTCTCTGCATTCTCCACGCGGAAAAACAAGCACAGGGCCTTCAGAAACAACAGTGCTTAATGAGCTTCAACCCAGATGCTCATTAGACTAGAGGGAAGTGCTGGGGCATCGAGCACATTCTCACATGGGCAGCTGATGCCTTAGTCAGGCCTTGGGGAGAGGACAGATCATGTCCCCCAGCGCCCGGCCAGGCAGGCACTGACCTGCAGGAGCTGCATGCCTCTCATCCCCTCGGCCTGGGTCCGGGAGGGACTCCATCACACTTTCTGTGGCCTAATGCTGCAGCTCTTAGAAAACATACCCACATTCACCGAGTTTACTCATTGCACCTGGGCGCTACCTCCGCAGAGGCCCTTTCAAATGCACTTTCTTAAGTAGGAAAGAGGAAGAATCACCAGCACCCCATAGATGGTTTTTTTCTTGTAAAAGAGAAGAGATTATTGCGGGATGGACCACCGACTGTTCAAATCAAGAAATCTAAACTTTGAAAGACGTGCATTTTTTTTTTAATTTATTTATTCACGAGAGACAGAGGGAGAGAGAGAGAGAGAAGCAGGCTCCCAAGGAGCAGGGAGCCCGATGCGGGACTCGATCCCAGGACCCTGGGATCATGACCTGAGCCGAAGGCAGACGCTTAACCATCTGAGCCACCCAGGCACCCGAAAGACGTGCATTTTTTTAAAGCAGTATTAAAAAATATGTGGGCCGACTTTGAAAAAGGTGTCCAAGAAGTTAAGACCAAAACCTCAGCACACTTTTTAGAAATTGTTCTGATAGCAAGAGCTTGTCCCATAAATATTACCTGATGCTTACAGTTAAGTATTTCCTAAACTGGGATGAAATGGTAAGAAACATACCTCTTCTTTCACTGATACAAAACACGGAGAAAATAACTGATCTCCTTTTATTGAGGGCACACCTGGGGCTCATCCTGGTTAGGGACAGGGACTTTCTCCAAGCTGTGGGTCTCAGAGGAGAGTAGTTCTAGGGCCACTGGGGGTCCTTAGCAGGAAGGTGCCAGAAGCGGCTGCTCCCCAGAAGCCTGTCTGCCCTCAGAAAATAGTCTTCGCTACACACTGGCAAGTTTGCCGGGTTTCCTAAAATAATTTAAATAAAATCCTCCCGCACTGATGAGGCATTTGGAAAGGTGTCTCCCAGTTTCCGGGGCACATTTGCTATCCCGATCCCTAAACGGGATGTCGGTTGCCCCTTCCAGAGGCTGTTTGTTTTCAGACGCCTGCAGGAGCATACCCAGGAGGTGCTCCAGGCTGCTCGGCCAGGTGGCTGGGGTGCGGGGACTCTGCAAGACTCACTGTCAGGAGTGGCTTCAGGACAGACACTTACGCACTTTCGTGACTACAAACAAGCGGCGTAAAACTTGGCGGTCCCTTTTCACACTGTCCTGACTCACTTACTACGGCTGGAACTCACGTCTATGAGGTTGCAAAATGGCTTGAATTAGGGGCTGTGTCCAGACAGCACATCTGATGCCCTGTAGTCCTGCGGGTCGAGCCACCAGCCTGACAGCCCCCGGGGACGGGGAGAGACTCTGCCACCAGCAGGGCTCGGGGGAGGCGCAGACCCCCCACCTCACGTCGTGTGGCTGGTCTCTGAAACCGCAGGGTGGCCTTGCCCCACTGGGGAAGAAACCGGCCCGGCTTCATTCCCAAAGAAACCTCCTTCATCGCAAAGCGTTTCTTGTGGTTGTGACGGCCCTAACCTCGCCCGGTCCCCAGACCGCCTGCGTTTGAACTGAGTTTCGGCCGCGGATCCGCCGCAAGGCTGCGCTCAGCGCTGGAGAAGAGGAGACACCTATTGGCAAGAAGGCGCGCTCGAAATCAGGGCTGCTCTGGGGAAACACCAGGGGGACACCGCTTCCCAATCTGTGCCGCGCGCCCGCCGCCCGCGCCCCTCCCGGCGGCAGACCCTGGCCGCGCCTGCTCGCCCCGCCCGGGCCGGGACCCCGCGGGGCGCGGGCGGCGGGCTCGGGGCTGGGGGCGCGGGGGCCCGCGGCGGGGTCGGCCTCTCCGGCTTACCTTCCTCCGCCGACTTCATGGTGCCGCCGGAGGGCGGCGCGGGCCCCAAAGTTTCTCCGCTCCCGCAGACTGCAGCCGAAGGGCCGAGTGGAAACTTGGAAGGGACTGGAAAACTGGTACTTGGCATCCACGCGGCGGCGGCGGCGGCGAGCAGGAGGAGCAGGAAGAGCGAGAGGGGGAGCGGGAGGAGCGGGCGCTCGGCGCCGCCGCCCCGGCCAGGTCTCCCGGGAAGGCAGACCTCTTCCCCAGCGGACGCGCGCGGGCCCGGCTCAGCGCCGCCCGCCCGGGAGAACTGTCACTGAGGGGCGTGTGCGTGCGTGGCGGGCCCAGCTGCGGCCCTGGGACCCGAGCTTGGTGGCGGAGTGGCGGGGTGGCGGGGGCTTGGAGGTGTGCTCCCGCGCCCCGGTGCCCGCGCCCGGCCGCCGGATCCGGCGCGGTGACTGTGCCGGCGAGTTCGGAGTCCTCTAAGTCTCGCTCTGACGCAGGGCCGCGCTCTGCCTCCTGCCTTTTTAAAGCTGGAAAACACCTCCCCCGCCTCCCCGCCGGCCCGGCCGCTCCCGCGCCCCCTCCCTGCCGTGACATCACGCCCCCGCCCGAGCCGGCGCAGGGCCCGGAGGACAAGTCGCCGAGCGCCTGCCCTCCCCGCGCCGGGCCGCTGCTCGCCCGGCCCGCTGGGCGCACGGGGGGCGGGCCGCGTCTCACGATGCCGACGAGGGTGCGCCGGAGGCGGCTGGGGTGCACGGGGGGCGACCAGGGGCGCACTCGGAGGGCGGGGGCGCACAGGGGTGGGCGGGGGCGCACGCGGAGGGCAGGGGCGCACGGGGTGCGAATTGGGCGCA